CCTTCAACTTTCCTTCCAGGGTAGCCAACCAGAGCAATGCTTTTCCAGTCACAATGTATTATCAAATAAAAATCTAATCATGTTCCAATCTAGCCCAAAGGCCCTTAAGTGGCCATTCAATGGCAGTTCAAAATAGGCTGACTTTATTGAGAGCTTAAAAAAAATAGCACCAGGAAATACACACATGAAACTACATGATGTTAGATGTAGTTATTACATTAGAGGAAATCTGATGTGATGCTCACTCCAAAGCTGGCCTTACTTTATAATAACGGTACCCCAAAAGTAGCAGAGGCCTTCCTAAGCAGTGGCCACAGATGCTGCTAGAACTGGAAGAGCTTCAGCACCCATTGTCTTGGTTTATCCCAAGTCTCCGGTGCAGCTCACAGGCTGTAGTGCTGAGGGAGTCCAGTTTTTGCTGGCTGTGTGATGATTGAGGGGCGATGGTTCCAGTGGACAATGCACTGGTTCCTCAAGTGAAACATGGGGCAAAACAGAGACTGTATCTTCACATCTAGTGAGCATTAGGAGAGCAGTGGCTATGGAAGGAGAAATCCAGGAGGCAGACCTTGAGCTGTCTGGGTAGCCGGCAGAGAAGACAGAGGGACACCACTGCAAAATGAGCTTGAGTTCCGTGAGCCGGGAGACACTGATGAATTGGGATTCTTTCAGTCTTCAGCGCAGGTGCCCACCTTGAACTGATCGGGGGAAAGAGCAACCTCAGTGGTTTGGGTTACTGAAAAGTCTGGGATTTAGATCTGGCAGTAGTAGAATAAAGGATAGAATCTCTCTTCTGTACTTCAGGGCCATTTTCCTGTGTTGGCTTCATTCTGGGTCATGGGGAAGAGGTCGGCTCTAGAGTCATGTCCTATCAGTTTTCAGAATCAGGAATAGGGCAGGGCCTGTTTTTCCACTAAAGTCTCAGGGCTAAAAGCCGGGTCTGATGGTGGCTCACACCTGTAGTCCCAGCACTTGGAAGGTTGGGGGTAGGAGGACTGCCTCAAGTTTGAGGCCAGCCTGACTCACATAATGAGACCCTGCTTTTGTTGGTTGTCTGTTTTAGAGACACATTTGTCTGGGCGACATGGCCCAGTAGGTAAAGTGCATCAAAGCATGAGGATCTGAGCTTGGATCACTAGCACTCACATGCAAAGATGAGCATGTCGGCACACGTCTATAACACCAGCACTAGGGAAGCAAAGGCAGGAGGGTCCCTGGGGCTTGCTGCCCAACCAGCCTAGCAGAATTAGTGAGCTCCAGTTTCAGTGAGATGCCTTGTCTCCAAAAATAAGGTATGGAATAATTGAGAAAGACACCCGACATTAACCTTGCACCCCTCCATGCCCACACATATATGTTCCAGCACTCACACTCACGTGTGCACACGAAGTCCCAGCGCTGACTCTGTTTTTCGAGACAGGGTTTCTCTGTGTAGCTTTAGCTGTCCTGCACCAGAGTGGCCTCGAACTCCTAGAGCTCTGCCTGTCAGGGCTGACTCTATTGAACAAATCAGTCTCTGTGGTTGGGCCGGGAGGCCTCCCTCTGACTAAGGTGCAAAGGTAAGACTCATCAGATCCCTTGAGTCTGAGCATGGGAGAGGGAAAGTTCCCAGAGGAGGTCCGGGAGCAGCTGTTGGAAGAATGATTCCAGGGAGGGCACCTGGTAAATTTCAGTACAGTGGTTGGCTGAGGCAAATTTGACCTGTTTTGAGATGGGTGCAACTAACCACATCCTAGGCTGATCCACAGATCTCACTTTACAGCAAGGAACACACAATCTGGTGTGGCTACCTCCTTCTGCTCCACTTAGGTTGATGCTAGCCTAGAAGCCATCTTTTCATTTCCTGGCTATTCCTTTCCTCACCATAGCTCTCATACTAGCTGACCTCTATATGTAGAAATCCTTTCCCTGAAAAATCTCATCAGCTAGGTACCATGTTCAAGAGTTTAACTCTTCCCACCTGTGAGTAATATTGCCTCACTGCATGAAGCTAAGATTACAATTCTTCAACCCAAGCCTCCTGTAACGGAGACTCGTGAATATCAACCTTGTCGAATTGTAAAACACATTTAATCATTCATGAGCTGGGTAAACTCTGCTATGTTCAATTGATTTGCTGACTAACCCACAGCCTTTCAACTTTTTGTTTGTTTGTTTCTCCAGAGGTAGACAGGGTCTTGCCACCTTGGCCCGGTAGGCCTGGTACTCACTCTGTAGCCCAGCCGGGCTTTGAAGCTGTGAGGGTCCTTCTGACTTAGCCTCCTGAGTGCTGGGTTATACCACACACCTCCAGATTTCAACCTGTGTGCCTACATTATGAATGTAGTTTTAGGCGCTGTGAGGGCGTGCAAATAATCTTTTCTTTTCGGTACAGCCCCCAGGGGCCAGGTGCTGATCACTTTTCACTGGGTCAGTGGTGCTTGTGTGTGTAAACACGTATATATGTTCATGTGTAGACTACACGTGTGTGCCAAGGCCTGAGGCTGATGTTGGACAGTTCTCTCTCTCATTTTTAATGATTCATTTATTTTTATTTTATGTTCATTGGTGTTTTGTCTGTGGGAGGGAGTCAGAAGCTCTGGAACTGGAGTTACCGTTGTGAGCTGCCATGTGGGTGCTGAGAATCGAACTTGGGTCCTCTGGCAGAGCAACCAGTACCCTAAACCACTGAGCCCCCTTTCCAGTTTAAAGATTTATTTCCTACTATGGGTGTGTTTGTGTTTGGGTGGTATGGAGCTGAAGTTACAGGTGTGAAGTTATAGGCGTTTGTGAGCTATCCAACATGGATGATGGGAACTGAACTCTGGCCCTCTGGAAGAGCAGTCTGTACTCTTAACCATCCAGCCATCTCTCTAGCCCACCTGCTTTACTTTTGGAGACAGAGAGGGTCTGTCTGTCCCTGAACCTGCAGCTTTTTACTTAAACACTATCCGTACCCTTGAAGGCAGACTTGGAGGAGCTGCTGGGTCCCTTCGTCGTAAGGTCATACTGAATTAATCTCTTTTTCTGCCTTTCACTATTGGTTTGACTCCTCTGTTTGGTTCACTGAGGAGGGATGGGACCTGGTTTGTTGAGCATACTGGCTGTGACCCAGAAGCACAAGAATTATCCTGGTCTTGTTCGTCCCCTTTCCCTGATCTGTCATCTTGGTAGGAAGAAAAAACATACCTGGTCAAGAGAATAGATGTGGAGACCCAGCATTTCAGTTGCTCTGGTTCAGTCATTTGGCTAGACTGAAGAGTTAACACAAGCCCCGTGTGTTCTCTACCTTTCCAGATCAGAGTTACACACTGTGGCCATGTTTCTTTATTTGTGGGTGCGCATTCGGGAGGTGGGGGGGGGCTGAACTTAAGGCCTCATGCTCATGCAGTAAGCAATGACTGAGCCATCTCCCCTCAACTGTGCTTTAAGTCCTGAAGGCCTTGCAGTCAGGGCACCCATATTGGAAGAAATCATTAAGTTTTTCACCAGAAAAGCTTCTGCGTTCAAAGCTTTGCATCAAACACTCGTGAAACGGAGGCCTTCAGCTTAGGGCGTTTATCACTCTTTAAGCTTTTCTGGACCTCATGGCTCTGGCCAGTCAGTTTGGATGCTTTATCACTGTCTTCTCCCGAAATGGTGCCCAACCTAGGTTTAGCACACCTTCATCTGTACCATTTGGGGATCACAAAGCTGGGTGGGATACCTGTTCTCTAAGCCTTATGGAGCTAACCTTGTCTATTAATTAATTCATAGTCAACGGTAGGAGTTGAAGGAATCAAAGTATATCATAATTGACAGCAGTAAAAAAAAAAAAAAAAAAAGAAAAAAAGAAAATTTAGGTAGAACGACTCATTGTGAGCACACTCAAAAATACAGTATCCACGTGGCCCCCAAAGCAGCAGTGCTTGTCTATTTCCACCCCAGGTCCTAGGAGAATTAGCAACGGATGGCTCTCACGTGTTATGTGCATAACCCTACTTCCCTCCCCTAGTATGTTACTCTTGGCTCGATAAAGCTGTCTTCAATTATATTAATTTCTTTCCTAATTTAATTTGCCACAAAATACATTGGTTCAGGAATTTATCACGTCTCACATGCACAGCTTCCCTGTGGAAGGCATGGAACTGCAAGCTTGTCTGCACAGTCGTTTCCCTTGTTTGAGATGGATCCTTTCCGTTCTCACGAACGTATTCTTCAAGCGGGGTACACATTTGCACCTTGAGCCTGCAGGAACGTGTAAAAACAGCCTCCGGTCTCCCGAAACTGAGATCAGGAGCCCCGCGGATGGAGGGCTTGAAAGTTCTGTTCTGATCCTTCCTGGACAGCCTCTAGCTCCGCCCAGAACCTGGCCACTTCCTCTGTACCTGCTAATGTCACAAATATCCGGAGTGCATCTGCTCAGATCCGGAATTCTTTCCCTAGGCAGCTGGGTAGCTGCTGGCCAGGGCTTTCAGGCCACGCCCATGTCCTGCTCTACACTTTTCGGGTTCCGGCGGATACCATCTGCCTAGAACCCTGGAGAGAAACTTTAAAGTTGGACCACAGTCACCCCTTCTCCTCATACCCTCCACCGGCCAACCCCTAAAGCCCAAGGCTTGCTGGAGATCGATCGGCAGGAACCGGGAGAAGGAAATCGGAAACCGAGAGCTGTGTGGGTCCCCTGTCCGCGATCGGCCGGTGTCCAGTGCCCGGTGTGCTTCTGGGTCCGGCGGGAAGGCCGCATTGCTGGGTTCGCCCGGGGCTGGCTTCTCGGTGCACCGGGCACAGAGCGGGAGGCTGGGGGGGGGGGGGGGGGGGGGGGGGAAGAACGGCTCCCCGCGGGGGGGGGGGGGGGGGGGGGGGGCGGGGCGCGGCCGGCGCCCCGCGGGGGTGGGCGGGGCGAGTCTGGGCGGGCGGCGGCGGCGGCGGCGGGAGCGTAGCAGCGACTCCGGTTCGGCGCCTCCCGGCTCCGGGCTCCTCCTCCCGCCGGCCGCGGCCCCGGCTGCGTAGCTCCGCCACTCCCCGCCCCGCGCCGCCGCCCCGCCCTCGCCGCCGCCCGGCCTCGCTCGCCCAACCCCGCTGACTGCAAGCCGGCCCCAGGCCGCCTCGCCGCCGCCCGGCCTCGCTGCGCGCCACCATGGACAGTCCCGTTTTCCCCTGGTAAAGATGGCGGTGCGCGATCGCTGCAACCTTTAGACTAATGACTGTCCGAAACATCGCCTCCATCTGTAATATGGTGAGTGGCCGCCGAGCCTCCGGGGGGTCGCGGCCGCGGCTGAGCCAGGCAAAGAAAGGGAACCCCGGGCTGGAGCTGCACGCGCGCCGCGGTCGTGGGGGCCCTCGCGGCCAGAAGTTCCCGGCCCCGAGGCTGGGCCGGCGGACGGCGGTCCCCCGCCTCTGCCCCAGCCGGGGACCCGGAGCCGAACCGGGGGATCCCCAGGGCGGCCCCATGCCCCCGCCCTCGAGTTGCGGTGCGGGCGGTGGGTGGGGGTGAAGGGCTCGGGGTGGCGGCACACTGATGTCCCGAGGGAGGACCGTGAGGGTACGAGCCCAGAGGGGGAGGACTCAGATCTTCCTGGTGCAGTAAATAAGCCCTTGCTGGACTCCCTGACCGTCCTCGTCGCCTTCTGGAGTTCAGGCTCGATTGTATTTAAGATTCACTTTGCAATAGCTGTGCTCTTACCGGGAGAAATTGGATAGACATAAAAGCTGTGTGTGTGGGGGGGGAAAACCAAGTGCAGAATCTCGTTAGAGAGGTGAACCCAGTATGGGAAAGCATGGCAATTTGTTCTGGAGGCCTCAGTTTCCCCACCTGCAGATTGAACGGCAGTAACATTTGCAGGCCCTGGGAGTGAGGCTGTTGTGGGTGTGAGGAAGTCCACAGGGGTCATCCTGCCCCGCCTCCTCTCCACTTAGCTTAGCTTGGGCACTGCCTGGCTTGTTACTATTCTGATGGGGTAGGAAGAGGGAGGGGGCGTGTTACTCAGCGGTCACTTTAATTTGGATTTTCCCCATTACATTCCTGTCCTGTTCCTGAGCACTCGTCTCCAGCCTTTGGGTCCTCTGGGTTTACTCAGATGGCACCCCCACTTGTGAGAGCCTTTGGGAGGTCAGTTTGGGGTAAGGCATTAACTACTGTGCGGGGCTTGAGGGCTGTGTGCTCTGCCTACACTCTCTGGATCCTCTCCCACTCCAAGCCCCTTCAAACTGGAGTACTGCTGTTTTGTTTTTCTTTCTTTCTTTTTGGGGAATACACCTCCCACCGCCCCCAAGATGGATAGTAATACTAGCATCTAAAGGGAATCTGAGGAGGCCTGATTGAGAAGGCCTTAGGTAAGGTGATCTGGCGGCCCTTCCCCCATCAACCAGCTCTTTAAATCTTCTGTCCCACATTCTGTTGCAAGATCAACACATGGCACAGAGCATTAAGGAGCCATGTGTTAGCTCAGGTGGAGTTGAGGCCTGCTGGGGCTGGCTCTAGCTCTCAGCGCTGGCCGCTGAGGCCATGCCAGCCGAGGAAGTAGGGGAGTGATAGGTGCCTGCTTGGTGATAAAGGTCTCCTCAGATGATGGCAGTGGCTTCTGCAGCCTTGCCCTTTCCCCTTTCTGCCTGAAGACACAGGTTTCCTGCTTCTTCCTGTCCAGTGGCATTAATGTGGCCGGATGCCCTGAGAAGACAATGCCTGTCTTCTCAGCGTCTCTGCTGTGACCAAGTTCCTGGGGTGGGGGGCTGTGAAACCACAGTAGCTGCAATGTTGTTTATGCCGCCTGTGGGGGTGGCCTCGGGCCTACAGGCTCCTGAGGCTCAATGGCTGCTTGTGGTAGTGTTCTTGTCCAGTTTGTATTCAGTGACACCTCTCAGTATTGAAGCAGAGTGGAAACTCAAGAGCTAGCATGTCCCAAGGGAAGTCTGCCTCCGGCTTGTTCTTGCCCTTGCTGTATGTAGCTAGGACTTCTTGGCACACCTGGACAGAATGTCACAACCTGTTTTCAGTGAAACTCAGCCAGGGAGCCAACAAGCTTCTGGGAGGATGTGTGCGGAATGGCCAATACTGTGTCAATAGATTCAAGTACTTCTTCTGGTGACCTAAAAGGGTACCAAGTTAAGGCTCATATACCCCCCCCTCCCAAGAACGCAAACCTATTATCTTTCTGTTTAGACATTTGTCTTGGGCAGGTGGAGAAATGTCCGAATTCTCAAGTGAGACTCTAGGTCCAGTCCTGCTTATGTATTTATTTGTGGCTGTGTTTTCGAGGCAGGGTCTTGCTAGCCCAGGTAGACCTTAAGCACTAGGTGACAAGTGTGTTCTGCTTCATCCAGCCTTTAAGTCCTGCTTTGGACAGGCGCACAGGGGCTTTGTGTCCTAGAGCGTGCTGCTCTTTTGCCTGGGCTTTTGTGTGTAAAAATGGGCTGATATTGGTGGCCTTGAATGAATTCCTGGGTTCCGTACCTTCTTTCTCATTATGATGCTACCTTCAAGTACTTCAGGGGGCCACAGTGTTCTCCTACCTGGGTATGAACAACCCATAGGGTCATTTATGCCAAGCAGGCTGAATGATACTATAGAGAAGCTGGGGTGGGAACTGGAAACCCCGCCCCTTATAAAAAGCTGCTCAGGTCACAGTCTGCCCCTCCCATTCTCATTTCCCAGAGGAGAAGGCTGGTGATGAGGAGACTGCTGTCTCTCTCTGCACAGTGAGATAAAAGCTCACTGTGCCCGCGTAGAGTTCTGACTTGACCATGAACTGTTTCCAGGTAGGCCTCTTCTCAGTCTCACTTGCTACTGGGCTTTCCTTTGAGCCTTCCCGCTTTCCCCTTTTGGCCCCAGCTGGTTTGAGGAGCTGTTGAGCAAGCTGGGATTGCTTGTTTGCCTGTTTATATTTATTTATTTGGTACCGAGTGCCACAAAACAGGTCCTTGTACAAGTGAGGCAAGGACTCTGCCACACACCCACACACCCAGGCTGCTTCTTGGGAAAGTATGTATTCTGTCTCTTTTAAAGACACTATCTTCTTGAAGAAGAGAAACAGACCAAGATCCAGCTCTGAAAGGCCGACTCCTTTCCTCCATGGAGGGAGAGCCCAGCAGAGCCTAAATGAGCCTGGCAGAAAGTCCTTCTTGTGATGGAGAACTAAGCAGAATGTCTTCATATCCCCTTTCTTCCTTTTGCCCATCCCACTGAGGTTTCCTTGTCCTTTGAAAGTTTAGAGCCGGTTCCCATTTATTTCTTGTGGATTCTTCCCTTGGTAATGCCTGATCTCAGGGCAAGTCAGCCTGACCACATGGCCGTGTGCGGTTGGAGATAGTAAAGCTTGTTTGGCTGGTGTGTTGTAATTTTGAAAATGCTTCAGCTGCCACCAAGCACAAGGAAGTGTCCCCTGTTGATAATCCTCTGCCGCTCAGACCAATGGGTTTTCACTCCCCATGTGTTTCACGGGCCTACCAATGGAGGATATCATTTGTGGCTAGGTTTTCTTTTGTTTCCTGTTTGAATTGAGGAATTTTCTAAATGAGAGAAAATAAAAAAGGAACCAAATGTGACTTGTACTGGTGTCAACTGGCCTGAAGCAGCTCTTATTTCATTTGTTAATAGTGCTGTTAAGATGTGTTTTGGAGGGAACCACTGTAACAAGCAGTAGAGGTTTTTTTGGGGGGCTGGGGGCTGGAAGGGTGGGTGTAGAACATGCAGTTCAGGGGTGCAGTGCTTAGCTTAGCCTGTGAGGCTTGGGTTTTGTCTCCAGCTGTGTGTGTGTGTGTGTGTGACAAATTTTGTGTGACAGACAGAATGACGTCTATCAAGGACCAGCAGTTTCAGTGCTGGCACATACTGTCTGCACACAGCCCCAAGGAGCTCAGCCAAACCTGAGCCTGTGGCCTGGTATTGGAATAGATGAAACAAATTCAATGCAGTGTGATAGCCACACAGATGGGGGTGAGCAGAATCTTAGAAGGATGAGTGCTACCAGACAGACACTTCTGTGATATTTTTTACTTTTCATGAGTGTGATCAAGGTCAGTGCCCATCAGAACAGGAGCTCTAGGACTGGCGTCCTTCCAGTATAATGTTAACTTGTACATAGCCAGTACAGTGTTGGTGGCCTTGGGCAATCGTGCCTCTGGGCACCTTAGTTTTTCTCATCTTGTAAAACCGCTTAGTATATCTTTTTGGTCACGAGACATTTCTTAGTGATTAGCATTTCTTAAAGTCTTTCTTCTCTTAACTGGCCAAGTCACTCTGGTTCCTATCTACCTTGTTTCAAACCTTGTTGAACTTAACAGATATTGGTGGTTTAATGTGGACCACTCTATGATGTTTTCTGAGGCCCATTTGTGTGCTGTATTTGGGTCCTTTTATGTAGAGAAGAGTAAGCAAAACGAGTAAGCAAAGCATTGGCAGCAAACCCGAGGATTTGATCTTACATGTATTTGAGTGTCTGTGTGCTGTGTGTGCGCCAGGTGCCCACAAAGGCCAGAAGAGGGCGCTGGATCCTGGAGAGGTACATGCCACTGTGAGCTGCCCTGTGGTGCTGGGAACTGAACCCAGGTCCTCTCTAAGGGCAGTCCCCAAACTGAGGGCCTTTGTTTAATCGTAATGAATCAGCTTACCTAAAGCAAGTACTTTGAGAATAATCAGGACTTTATTTTATTACTACTACTAATAAAGCCAGTCTCACACTGCGCCTGAAGAGAGAACTTTTTTGCCACGACTCATGCATTCTATTTGCAAAGATAACTGGCAGCTGGACGTGGAGTTTACTGTATCAGCTGGCAAAGGTTATAGTTATGAATGAGGGTCCATTCTGATAGTTGTCAGGTGTTTAACAAACACAGCCTGAGGTGAGGTGGGTTAATGTTTAAAGGAAAAAAAAACAAAAAAGCACACAAAACAACAACAAAACAAAACAAAAACCCCCCAAAATTCCTTTCCTGGCCTTCCAGGCCGAATATCCTAGAGTTTATTTTAGGTCAGACCCTGACAATTAAGTCTGCAGAATTTTCTGTTTTCCCTGGCCTCCTGGGGGTAGATGAATTTGAACACCAATATTTAGCCAGAATTGAAGGTTGCGATACCTTTTCTGAGCTTGAATCCCCATGTTCTACTTAGCTGTACACTAAGTCCTGTTTATTCATCTTCACTAGTGTGGGGTCTTCATGTGTTTGGGTTAAAATGGAAAGTAATTTCGAACTTCGATTGCCTTTGTAGTTAAGAGAACTTTCTCTAGTTAGATGTGGGTC